TTATTAATAAATAATTAAATATTTTAAAATTTCATAACATATATAAGTAAACTTGTGCATTATTTATCTTTCGAGCCTAACTGCCTCTTTTATGAGAGAATAGATTAGATTAATAATTAATATAACATAAAACTATGAAAAAAATATTTCACATATCACAAGAGATAAACTTATCTTTAACAATCCCAAAACTATGTCGTTTTGGGGATTGAGAGAATTAGTAAAGAATATTTTAGAAATTTTGTTTGTTTCTTTGTTGTAGAAATTTTACGAAAACACCCATCATTAATTTTTTCAACTCTCAAAATGATGTAATTTTTGAGTTAGTGGAGATAACATTATTTCCTATAGTAAGAGAAATGACAAACCCTAAAACAATTAATATAATATGTACTTAACAGTTTAAACTTTTGGATTAATTCATATCATCATAAATCTTAATTTTAAAATTACATGCAAACTTAAATCAACTAAAGTAAACTTTAATGGAAAATAATTAAGATAATATTTCACTTTTCCTTTTGTATTCTCATTTTAAATAAAATAATTAACAAGAAAAAAAGGAGCACACAGTTTGATATATTTAATCCAATTTTTGTTAATTATTAAAGGGAAATCAGCTTATCATAAGATTACTGTTCATATATGCTGATAGAAAATCATGATAGAACCCACTAAAAAAATTAAATAAAAAAAGTAAATAAATACAATCTCCAATATCGATTTCTCTGGTATAAACAGTAATTTTTCTAAGACATGATGAGTTGATTTCCCATTATTAAATAGTTTGAAGTAATTAACTAGGTGTAAAAGCAGGAATTGACTGATGGAGTCAACTGTGATATAACAAGGTGCAAGGAATGAAAGAATAGCAGGAAGGGTGGTAGGGTGGTGGGCACTATGCAAAGCAAATTCATATCAAGCTGAACCTGTTTGGTATTTTGTAGTAAGGAAAGAAAAAAGAAAAAAGAAAAAAGAAAAAAAAGCAGCAGAAGACGTTGGCCAGAGCCAACACACAAGGTAACAACAAATTTGCATGTCAAATCCATTGCTTTTTTTACCTTTCTCTCTCTTTGCTTAATGTGGGGTAGGAGAGAGAAAGTGGGAAAAGAAATGTAAAAGCAATGTGATGCTGATGGGGGATTCTTCTCCAGGCAACAGTGGTTTCATACCCTGCCAATATTGTGGTGATGAATGATATATGTGCGGTGGTGGTTGTAGGAGTGTTCTTTCCCTCTTCTTTTTACTCAACCCTTTTCCAATTTGAAGGGACCTTTGACCCTTTCTCCTTTTTTTTTTTTTAAGTTTTTATAAATGATATTGGCATATGACCAAAATATTAAAAAAATAAATAAATATTCTTTTGGATCCCTAACAAATAATACGGTTCCCATTTTAGTCCTTTATAAAAAATAATTAGTCGATTGGTCCCTATGAAATTCAAAGTGGACCTATTTTAGTTATTTTGAAGGACTAATATAGGTCTTTTTTGAATTTGTAAGGGATCATGATCTCAACTAAATGAGTCTACTTTAAATTTCCTAGAAACCTCGAGACTAATTTTTTTTGTAAGGGACTAAAATGAGGATCGTGTTTTTTGTTAAGGACAAAAAAAGATATTTACTCTAAAAAGAAATGATATTTTCATATTATATATTTTTACATTATTTAATTTAAATTTAATTTATAAATAAATCCATAAATAAAAATAAAATATTAGGTTAGGTTGCATATAAAAATAAATCCAAAATAAAATAATATGAAAATCATAACTCAAAAAATTTAAGGCTCTGTTTGATTTCTGTTTTCGAAAACAGTTTTTTAGTTTTCAGAACAAAAAAAATTAAAAAACTTGTTTGGTAAGACTTGTTTTGTAAAAAATATTTTGAAAACTGTAACTATTTTTTTGTTTTTAAAATCAAATTTAGAGAACATGTCTGAGTTGTTTTTGTTTTCTGTTTTGATTTTTAACTTTGAAAAAGAAAAAAATATAGAAAACAACTGTTTTCATAATTATTTTACAAAACAGTTTTAAGAAAAAAAAAACCATAACAGAGTCCCTTATATTTTTTTTTCCGTTCTATTTGTTTCTTTTCACTCCCCACTCCCAAAAGTTACACATTGACTATTTGACTTGGACCCCTTGACCCTTATGAAAGCTAGCTAGCATTTGACTCGATGATTTCATTTTGTATTATTTCGGAGACTCAAAACACAAGAGGAGAGTGGTGGTGTTAACAACTAAAAATAAAGTTGATTGGCTTTGCAAACATTATTGAATCAACATTCTTCTTTCAATTATTACATTTGAATTTAATTTTTTTATTAATAAGTAATATATGTGATTTTGTTTTAAAATTTTACTAAAATTAATAATTTATCATAATCTTAAAACAAGAAGAGTCTTCCTACACTTTAAACATATTGACTTTTGCTATCAAGGAACACTGATTATAGTGGACAATAATAAACTCAACCGAATCAATTATGCACTCCCACATAAAAAATCTCCATTATCTCTTGGTAAACGCAAATGGTAAGTCAGTGGTAGCAGTAAAAAAAACACATCTTAATGCTTAAACAATGGATTTATTCACCACTCCTTAGATAGCAAGGTGCTATGAATTCTAGATGCATTCATTAAGATTATGACTAGTCCCTACACAAATTTACAAATAACTACTTTACGAATTTCGTTTTTCCATGTCTATCTCAATATTTGAGGGCAAGGTTTCTATTTATAAGTTTCCTACATTCATAGGGACTGAAACTCAACAAATATGTTGAGGGCAATATTATACCATGCGTAATATTTTATACCAGATTTTATTGTAACTTCTTTTTTTTTTTTGTTGAGTTTTAAAAATGAAATAATTAAAATTTGGGTTGTTATTTTACCGAAATTATAACTATAACATGTTATTAATAATTTTAAAAAAGATTGGTGCTGAATCTTCTTGTATTCGTATAAAAATTATTTTTAATAAAATTTAGGTTGTTAATTGTTATTCATTTTAACAACCATAGTTATTACTATCGCACAATACACGATGTGATTCAGAATTTTTGCAACACATATCGATTGATTGTATCGAAATAAATCTTATATCAATTGTACATTATTGTATCGAATTGTGTATTGTACGATGCAATATTGAATTGTGTATCGTATGACGCGAAAATCAAACCAAAATTGACAATTTTCATATAAAAAATTCTGAAAAATTATTATTAATAAGGGGAAAAAAGATTTAATTTGTAATTAAAATATAAAAATCAACCAGCAAAAATCATTTATAGATATTGATAGTATTAGTCTTGATAATTAATGAATGTTGATTGAATTATTTTTAAAATTTGAATTTATATAATATTTTATGAGTAAAGTCCATTTTGGGACCCTAATAAAAAATACGGTCCCTACTTTTATCCCTTACAAAAAAAATTAGTCCCAGGTCCTTAAAAAATTTAAAGTTGACCCATTTAGTTGAGATCGTGATTCCTCGTAAATTTAAAAAAAACTCATGTTAATTCCTTAAAAGGAGTAAAATGAGTTCACTTTAAATTTATTAGGGACCTCAGAACTAATTTTTTTTATAAAAGACTAAAATAAGACCATATTTTTTGTTAGGGACCAAAAAAATTTTTATTTATATTTTATGTTTATAAATTATTTTTTATTATATTTTTATATCTAATAATCTCATCCCGTTTACAATATACAATACAAAAAAATCAATCAAACGATACAGAATAGGTATTTTCCATTCATCAATCTTATTGACAAGCCTTAATTCATAAGGAGGGTGACTTTGGTGGTTGGGCCAGTGAAAGTAAGTGGAGGCGGCATCTCTCCCTATCTCTGTGAAAAGAAAAGCAACCATAAACATGATGATGAAGACGACGAGGACGACGCTGACACTTTGATACTCAACTCCACCCTCCCCCAGTCTCAAACACCAATTACAACAATCAACATTATATAAAAGATCTCCCTCAACTCAACTCAACTCAACTATCTGTCACAAAATAAATAAAATAATAATAATAATCTCATGTCGACTATACTTTATAGTTTATACTATACACATAGTAACAGAGAGAACAAGAGAATATGTGCGCATTGCTCAACACTCACTACTAAATCAATCTCACAATCTTCTCTGGGTCCCACCATTTTCATACCCAGTTCTGTTATTCCCGTACCTCTCTACCTACAATTTATCTTTTCTTAAGGAGTTTTTTTTTAAGTGTCATTAGTTTGTTAGTTAACTAATAATTAATAAGAAAAAAATGTTTCTACAGATAAATTATCTGTATTTATTTTCAAAACGATATCGTTTTGTGGAGAAGGTTATACTTACAACCTATTTTCTTTACAACCTCTTATAATCATATATCTTAATCGTTGATTTTCGTCAATTAACGGTTAAGATTTTCGTAAATTAAATTTATTAATTAATTATTAATCACAATAAATAATAATTGTTGATTGGCGAAAATTAAAGGTTAAAATATATGGTTGTAAGAAGTTGTAAAGAAAATAGGTTGTAAGTATAACATTTCCCTCGTTTTGTTATTGAAATCTTAAAAAATTATAAATATAAAAAATATTATAACTCTGAAATAAATTAAAATTACAAAAATACCATGATTTATGTCCGAAAATAACATCGTATTGAGCTTATTGCAGATAACTTATCTGCAGTGACGGCAGAAAAAACGAACCCAATTAATAATTAATAGATGGATGTGTATGTGGGTAAAATTAATGATGTAAAAGAAAAAGAAAAAACAAATTTGTAGATAATTAATCAAATAATAAATATTATTAATCAACAATTAGTTCTGGTTAACCAGGCAGATAGAAAAATTCTGTTCACACCCAACGCAACCCCACACACACACACACTATGTGTTGTCACTCCTCACACTAGCTAGCATGAGTATATTTATAGATGCACTGCAAAATGCAAAATTGGAGTCACCACTCCACAGACCACAACACAAAACCCCTTTTTCTAATTTCTAAATTTCGCTGAAAAAAAAAACACCTCTTGTTTATTTGTTGTTCCATAATAACGAAATTTCACCCACCCCTCCAAATCATAATCAAGTCCAATTCTATATTTTATATTATTATTATTATTATTTTATTTTATTTAGTATTTAATTGTTTCACAAGAGAGTGAGAGTGAGAGTCTCATAATTTTATGACCGCCGGCGACGATGCCAACGCCAGTGGGAGTAGCCAGGCAATGTTTGACGGCGGAGGCAGCACGAGCACTTGACGAGGCGGTCTCCGTCGCCCGCCGCCGTGGCCACGCGCAGACGACGTCACTTCACGCGGTGTCAGCTCTCCTGTCGTTGCCGTCTTCCTCCGTGCTACGCGACGCGTGTTCACGCGCACGAAACTCCGCGTATTCCCCACGGCTTCAGTTCAAGGCACTTGACCTATGTCTCTCGGTGTCACTTGACCGTGCACCTTCTTCCCATAACAACCTCTCCTCCGACCACGAACCACCCGTTTCTAACTCCCTCATGGCCGCTATCAAACGGTCACAAGCTAACCAACGCCGTCACCCTGATAACTTCCATCTCTATCATAACCACCCCCAACAACTCCAACAACTCCAACAACCACAACAACCACAACAACAACAACAACAACCGTTTTCAGTTTCATCCGTTAAGGTCGAGCTACAGCATTTAATTTTATCAATCCTTGATGACCCGGTTGTTAGTCGGGTCTTCGCAGAAGCGGGTTTTCGGAGCTCCGAAATTAAACTCGCCATCCTCCGTCCCCTCCCTCATCTTTTCCGTTCCCGCGGACCTCCTATTTTCCTCTGCAACTTGCCGGACCAGCCTCGCCGGAGCTTCAGCTTCCCGTTCTTCTCCGGCTTCGGCGAGAAGGAAGTGAAAGAGGAAGATGAAGAAGAAGTGGACGTTAACAACTTCAGGAGAATCGGTGAGGTACTTGTTCGGAGCAGAGGGAGGAATCCCCTGCTTCTCGGTGCATGCGCGAACGATGCTCTACGTAGGTTCACGGAAGCCGTGGAGAAAATGAAGGGTGGAGTTTTGCCTCTGGAGTTGTGTGGTTTGCGCGTGGTTTGCATTGGGAAAGAGATGGAGAATTTGGACGGTGATGTTTTGGGTTCGAGGTTGAAGGAGGTTGCTCTCATGGCGGAGAAGAGTGTGGGACCAGGTTTGGTGGTGAGTTTTGGGGACTTGAAAGGTTTTTTGAACGATGGGTGTGTTAATAAAGTGAGACTTGTTGTTGGGGAATTGGCCAAGTTGTTGCAACTTCATTATGACAAGTTTTGGTTGCTTGGTGCTGCGGCTAGTTATGAGAGCTACTTGAAATTCGTGGGTAGGTTTCCTTCTATAGAAAAAGATTGGGATTTGCAGCTTCTTCCCATAACCTCTGTTAGGGCTTCTTCCTTGCATGCTGAATCATATCAGAGACCTAGGTCAAGGTAAATAAATACCCCTACCCACTTCTTTGTGTCAGTTTTGGTGCTTTGTTTATATTCATCTCTCTGATATGTTTTGCTTCCAAATCATAATTGTCAAGTTCCATTTCTTTATTATTATTATTATTTTTTAATCCAGTTCTTCAAATTTGGTGTCTTATTATGTTTGTGACATGCCTGCCCCTTGTGTATATTTATTGTTTATTTTAACATATTTAAATTTTGAAGCTCTGTTGCTAAGTTAATATTTTTATTTATTTCTTTTGTGTTTTTCATAAGCGAGACTTTGTTCATTTGAATTTGATGTTTATCGGTTCTTTAGTTCAGTAACGTTTATCTATGTATCTGATCGCGCGGGTTATCCCCTTATTGTATATTATGGTATTTGAAAATATGAGAAGAATATGGATTTATTATATTACATGCCACTGTATTTATTTGTTTGTTTGAGAAAACCAATAAGTTTAAGATGAGTGGAAATTTGTTCTAGTGTTCTTCCATGAAATTCCTTTTGGAGGCCTCTTCATCACTCCTTCCTTCAGTTTTATTTGTTTAGTGCCACTTGATTCCTTGCGGTGGCACTGTGAATGACTAAGTTTCTTCATATACAGGAATTTAATATTTCTGTTTATGATGTAATTTCTCTTATAAAGTGTTATTGACATGTACATGAAGCAACAGCCTCCCTAATGATTCCCCCTTCAATCCCTGATTTATGTTCGTAACTTGAGTTTGATGACAACCGTATACGCATTGGGTTTCCGTTAAATTGGGGTCTTGCTGTTACCAGAAGAATTGATATATTGTCTTCTGGTAATGACATTTAAAAGCACATAGTTGGGTTGTTCTGTACTAAAAGCGATGCTATGGTGATCACTTTATCGTTATTATGAATTTCAAATGGTTGTAAACTCTGCATCTTTCTCATAGTAGTTATTTGTCTAAACTAAGTTTTCTCCTTTTACAGCTTAATGGATTCATTTGTTCCATTTGGTGGCTTTTTTCCGTCACAGTCTGATTTGAAAGGTCCCCTAAATGGCTCACTTTATTGTGTTCCCCACTGTCATCAATATGGTGAAAGGTGTGAACACGAAGTCCTTGCTGCTTCAAAGGAAAGATTTACTGCTTCAGCTGCTGAACCATACCAACCTAACTTACCTCCATGGTTGCAGATTGCAGAGTTTGGCACAACAAAGGGATTGAATGTTAAGGTGTGTAGCACTCAGACACATCCATTAAATTCAGCATAAATTATTTTGTATAAAGCTGGGGAATTTTTTTTATTGATTTTGGTTATTTACAAACCCCAAAGTGAAGAAAATTGAAAGAAACAAGATTTAAGATCAAGCTATGGCCTGGAGGAAAAAATAATTTAAGGGCAAGCGGGATTAGGGAAATGGACTTTTTTCAGCCTTGTTTCTCGGATTTCAAAGAGTTATTTGGGCTTACTGATTATTTATCATTTTCCCCTTCCCCCCCCCCCTAAAATACAAAGAATGTGCAATTCTTGAAATGACAAGCTTTTCTTTTCCTAAAATAACTGTTCACTCCAGCAACATGTGCTTAAATTCAGTATTTAAAAGGCTTTAAAAATTTCACTAGCTCTTTTCATTTGTCCCGACATATGTGGCCCTAGTACTATATTAACAGCGGATCATTGAAAATTTAACTGTTGGTTTTTGTTTGAAAGATGCAATATTATTTGATTAAAAACCGATCCACATGACAAGTTATAAAATAACAATAACAATTTTTGTTTTACTGTTGTGATAAATAAATTTTAAAAATTTCGTTAAGGAAATGTTTAAAATGGGTTGACACTTGGCAGATCCATGCCTTTTATTGCACAGGAAAAGAGAATAAACAAGTTGCTGTGTGTTGAAGTACAAATTTCAGATTGTCTTCACTGATTCTGCCAGTAAATCTAATGGCTCACATTAGCATCTGTAACCTTGCTGCATTATAATCTAATTTACTTGCTCGTGTCTTGTTTCGGTAGGTGGTAAGTTAGCATATCGTCAACCAACTTTCATGTCCTATAAGACATCCTTGCAGAATTATTAGTGAATGTTACTGTAATTCTGTTGATCGTATAGTAAATTATCTACAATTTTAATTTATACTCATCAATGAAGTCCTCTTCATTTTGTTTGTGTAAAAACCACTTTTCTTTTATTCAGTGCAGACCAAAGATGATGGTGTTTTGCTGGATAGTAGTGAATCTGGGCCACCGCATAAGAACTCGGAGAAGACATGCCAGCATCTGCACCAGCGATCCCCTGATGCAAATACTTGTCCAACTGTTGTGGGGTTTCATTGTACTGACAACAAAAAGGAAGATGCTGACAACCGCAGCAGCAAAATTAGAGAAAAATCGCCCAGTGAATGCATCGATCTCAACTCCCATGTACCTGTTGATGTGCAAATGATGTCCACATCACAATCAAGCAGTCCTTTTCCTGCGGTTTTCAAGGAAAAGCAGGAGAAATATACTTCAAAACTAACTGACATGTTCCAGAAAGTGGATGATCTTGAGTCAGGTGATGGGAGATCATGCAACTTGTCCAATTCAAGTGTGTGTGATGGTAGTCAAATGTCTCCCACATCTGTGACTTCTGTAACCACAGATCTAGGCTTAGGAATATGCTCTTCTCCCACCAGCAACAAATCTAACAAACCTCCTGTTCAATATACAATGGAACCTCCAAAGGAAATCCCGAGTCGATTTTCTTCAAACTTTAATTCGGCTGATGGGAATATCTTGAAGCATCCATCCCAGTCTTCATCCTGCCTAAGTTTTGACCACTGTGGACAAGTTGATGCAAGAAATCCCAGAATTCTTTTTGAAGCTCTTTCTAAGGAGGTAAGCTGGCAAGATGAAGCCTTACGTGTTATCGTCAAAACAGTAGTTTACAGCCCAACAAAAAGGGTTAAACACCACAGAGCAAATCAGCGTGGGGACATATGGATGAATTTTGTTGGACCTGATAGGCATGGTAAAAAGAAAATTGCTGTTTCTCTAGCTGAGTTATTTTTTGGAAGCCGGGAAAGTTTTATCTTTGTGGATCTAAGTTCTGAAGAAATGAAAGGATGCAATGTGAAATTCAGAGGGAAGACTACCCTTGATTTTATTGTAGGGGAGTGTTGCAAGAAACCCTTGTCGGTGGTTTTCCTTGAAAATGTAGACAAGGCGGATGTGGTAGCTCAAAGTAGTTTGTCACAAGCCATCAAGACAGGAAAAATTACAGACTCACATGGACGAGAAGTTAGTGTAAACAGCACAATATTTGTGACTTCCTTCTCAGGTTACCAAAATAGTTCGATGCCAACAAGAGGGGAACCTTCCAACTATTCTGAGGAAAGAATACTAAGGGCAAAGGGGGGAGCTATCAAGATAAAAGTTGAACATGTGATTGGAGACATCAGAAGCCAAACCATCAGCGTAGTTAACAGTTCAATAGGTGCTATTCCTAATCTGATTTTCATGAACAAACGAAAGCTGATTGGTGAACATGAATTTCATGATCCGCATTTACTCTCAGATACGGCTAAAAGGGCACATACAACATCAAGTTGGCTTTTAGATTTGAATCTTCCAGCTGAAGAGAATGAACCGAAACAAACAGATGATGGAAACTCTGAACATGTCTCAACTGAGAACCAAAACCTTTGGTTGCAAGATTTGTATAATCTGGTTGATGAAACAGTTGTTTTTAAACCTTATGATTTTGATGCACTTGCGGATAGAGTACTGAAAGTGATCAGAAGTAACTTCAAACAAATTCTTGGATCCGAGTGTTCTTTACAGATTCAGTCAGAAGTCATGGACCAATTACTTGCAGCTGCATATGTCTCAGACAGGGATATGGTGGTGGAGAACTGGGTGGAGCAAGTTCTCTGTGGAGGATTTACAGAAGTAAGGAGAAGGTACAACCTCACTGCCAGTTCTATTGTGAAACTTGAGACATGTCCACAGCAAGCTTCATATGTACACCTTCCCCCAAGGATAATTTTAGACTGAGTTCCAACTAGCTAGTGTTGTCTTTACTATTTGGATGTATAATTTAGCTGTAGCATATAGTGAAACTTAAATCCTATTATTTTGTTGGGTTTTTGTCTAGGTTTTATTTGTGTATAATATGTATCTGCTGTTAGTGCTTTGTGTGATTATCATTGCATTTTTAAATCAAATGTCTTCTTTGTTTTCTAAGTTGTTGTTTGATGTAATTGATTAATACATATACTGATGAATCAATTTAGACTAAAAAATAAGAGGTCTTTATGGGTTGTGATTAAATCTCATACAGACCAGTTCACAATCACACTAAAACTAATACAACAATTACACCAAAGATAACTAAACTGATTATAAATGGACCAGAAACAAGATTACAATGACCAATTCACCAAGTTCAGCAATAATATCAAATAACAGGGAAATTACAGAGTCATATGATTCAGCTCCTTCATTACAAATTTAACCAAATGGACCATTTTAGTTCTAGTGGTCTGGACATCGTGAAATTTGCTGAGGACCGAAAAGAGTATTTACTCTTAATTTTTTTTTTCTCAATATATATTCGCATCGTGTTCCTATAAATAAAAAATAAATACAGAAAAATATCGTGTCATGTTGGTATTAGGAATATTTATATTTATGTAAATCTACAATTGGTCTATCTAAAGGAAAAAAAAATATTTAATATTACTTTAGACAACTTTGTCTAATGTTCATCGAAATGACGTTATTTTGGGATTAAAAAATTAAAAAATTAGAATGATAAAGACTATTATAACCCTGAAATAAATTAAAATTACAAAAATATCATGATTTTCACCACAAAACGATGTCGTTTTGGTGAACATTAGATAAAATTATCTAAAGTAACTTTAGAAAAAATCCTTATTTAAATTAAATAATTATGAAGTTATATATTTATCCTCCTTACATTCATATAAGAAACGTGGTCGCGTTAATGAAATAAAATATCACATAATATGTGTATTCTTTTTCCTTCCCTCGAAACCCTAAATTTCAATGCTATTTGATTTTTGAGGCAAGCTTTCTTGGTCTCAGATGTCGACGAATTCTATCCCTTTGTTTGAGAACCGGGTAAAGTTAATCTTTTGTGAGTTATTTGGTACTTGTTCATTTTGTGTTCCAATGGAATGTAGAAGGGTAATTTCATCTCTTTCTCCCTTTTTTCTCTCCGGGGTTTTGGGCTTCATCCAATAAAACGTGAAGTAATGAACTTGGAGTTGAAATTGGGTAATTGTTACTCATTGTGTTTAAAATCAAGATTACAAGATGTTTCATTTGTTTCCCTGTAGAAAAAGAGAACTTTTGCTTGTATGTGCACCCCCCAATGAGTCATGGGTGGTTGCTCTATCAGCAGAGGAAGTTCCATACAGAACTTGCGGGTGGGATCAATTCTGCAAGAGATGGAATGAACAGTATTTTGTTGCTTGGCTAAGTAGGAATGACAGGTATTATGTTTTTGCTCTAGATGTTATTCTAATCAGAATTCAGTTATGTGGAAGAATCTCCTAGCTTCTGAAGGATTTTGTATTGATGCATTTCTTTATCTCTTAATTATGTAAAAACCCTGCCTTGAGGTTGTGGGACATATATGTTTCTCACCCATTTGCTTGAGATTCAAAATGCTGCGGGTTAAGTAGCATAATGTTTTTTGAATGACTTATAACCCTATCTTTTGTGCAAGATCAGAATTTAGAAATGTTTCTGAAATATTGCTATGGAGTAAATTTGGTATGTAAATTTGGTATGGTGATGGATGAATGATAAACTTGGGAAATGGTATCACTGGCTTGTGGTTACTATGCATCAGTTGTCATTCTTATTTTGCTGTTCAGTTTGGTGCATTATGTTTGGATGGAGGTGTTTGGAGAGAAAGAGAAGGAAGGTGAATTTTTCATTTTAAGTAAATATTTTCTTATTTGAGAATCTTTTCAAAAAATGAAAGGAATAGAGTAAGATTTTATCATATTAGCTTCCAATCATCCTTCATTCATTTACATTTTATAACTCTTTCAATTTAAAAATGAAAAATCAACCTTTCCTTTCCTTTCCCTCCAAACCCCTTCTCCATCCAAACATATTAGGAAACACCCAGAGAGATTGGAGGGCTCCACTGGGTTAATGGTAATGACATTTTCCCCCCTTTGTTTTTACTTTCTTCTATGAGAATTTCTGAGCTGATCCTCTTTATGTCTGTCTTTCTTTTAGTAATTTTTCTCTTTTTCCACTAACAGAAAACTGCATCGGAAGTAACCCTCTTGCATTTGTCTTATGGCAGTCATTTCCCTTGTTCCTCTTTTGTTTAAATTGGCATTAAGTCGGTTCTGTCAATTTATTATTGATTTTTATATGACTTCTGCGAGGATTATTTTTACTTTTATTTGGAAAAAAATATATTTTTTGGGAAGGTGGGGTTATAAAGTGCATTATGCATGTGTGTTGTATGAAAAGAAATGTAAAGAATTTTAGCTACTTAGGGTTAGGGACATAGGGTCATGCTAATTGTTTTCTGAAAACTAGATTGGTTTGAGGCATACCTTGGATGTGATAGTTTAGCATGATTCAGAGCAAAAGGGAGATAGTCAAGGTAGAAAACAAGGTTGTTCTAGGTGCAGAGTTGGCAGAATTTGAGTGCATGTGGTCGTCCCTCCTGAATTCACACCCACAGATCTTGCTGACACTCCTCGGTGAACTGACTCTATTGTTAATGTAATTATCATTCTTTCTAGTATTTATCATAATCAAAATAAAACATTCTTGCAGCTTACTGAACTAAATCTCAAACATTCCCCAAAGTAAATCATACTTTTGAATGTGTCAAACATTCACTGTCTCTCATTCTTTCTCATCCTTTTTCTAGTAGGCAATAAGGGTTGGCTCAATTTGTAGGATCAAACTGCACCAATAAAATGGTCTCAGGTTCGATTCCTGCTAGTAATCTTTCCTATATAGGTCATTTGTAAGTACTATTGTAAGCTCTTGTGGCTTGTAACATGCCCTGACCTTGGAATGTGTCAACCTCCCCTCCCCCTAAACTTTTTCCATCAAAACAGAAACCTACTCTCTTTTTTCTGAAGAAGTTTTTTCCCCGCTTGTAATAATTGTTATTCGTTCAAGGCATGAATAAATTTACAGTTATTGTTAACGGCAAGAGTCTATTCAGCCTGATGAACGATCTGCCAACTGTCTTAGAAGTTGTAACATAAAAAAAGCCTACAAAAGTCAAGCCCGCTGTGGAATACTTTCAGATCAATCGTGGATGAGAGTGATGCAATTTTTATATTTCTTGCAAGACATTCAGTTTCTTACCTACATTTGCTTTGCAGAGATCAAATGACGAACACATCAGAAGCAATTCCAAATCACTCGATGAAAGTAATAGGGAGGATGAGAAGGAGTATACTGAAACCCTATGTGGGAGTTGTGGCAGCCGGAATTACAACTACGATGAGTTCTGGATTTAGAGGTACTTAAGGAAGATGCTTTTAGATATTGGGATCTATTTTGCAAAAAGGTGGAGAGATTGATGAGGATGTAAATCATAGTATCATAGTAGGGTGAATGAAATGGCGTAGTGCATTTGGGTTTTTACGTGACTACAATATTCCCCTTAAGTTAAAAGGAAATTTTTATAGAACAGTAAGGCCTGCAATATTATATGAAGCTGAATGTTGGCCAGTACATAGGGCAACATGAGCATAAAATGGGAGTAGTATAAATGAGGATGTTAAGATGAATGTGTGGTTATACGAGGATGGATAAGATAAGAAGTGAAGATATTTGACGAAAGATAGGAGTAGTATCGGTGGCTGAAAAGATGAGAGAACATAGATTGAAGTGGTTTGGGCACGCAATGAGAAGGCCCCTGGATGCTCTCGTAAGAACAAAAGTTTGTTACCAAGAGCTCGACACAAAGAGAGGTAGAGAGGTAGACCAAAACTTACTTGGGGGAAAGTAGTAAAACAAGACTTGATGGAATGAGATATAGATTGATGGTCGGTGTGTCTTAAGACAGAATGGAGAAAAACGATAAGATGATGGAGGGTTAGACTCGTTATTTCTATGTTCCAGATGGGCCCTTTTTAGTTCTTTTTCTCTTCATCTTCCCCCTCTCCTTATTTTTTCCTTCTTTTCCTTTATCTTTTTTCCCCTTCTTAATAATTTTTTTTTTTTTTACTTATTTATTTATTGCACAACCTTTTATTTTTACTTATATATATATATATATATATATATATATATATATATATTATTTTATTTTTTTGTCTTACTTTCTTACTCTTTTTTTGCCTCCTATATATCTCTATCTTTAGTTTACCTTTATTTTATTTTTTTGTCTTACTTTCTTACTCTTTTTTTGCCTCCTATATATTCTATCTTTAGTTTACCTTAATATAATTTTCTTTTTATTTGTTTACCTTGTTATATATATAAATATATATATATATACACACACACACTTAAATGTCATTTTTATCTTTTTTCAATTTCTTCATATTTTTCATTTAGTTTCATCTACTATCGACCCCAATTAGTTTGAGATAAAAATGTTGTTGATGTTGATGAGTTTTGGATTTGTTGTGACATGTGACAAATGTTGATGTGGAAGAACTTATCCTAATCCGATCTTTCAATTCAGGTTTAGGATGAACTTTTTACACCTTGGTGATTGTTACAATGACCTTTATTCGCATAAGAAACAAGTAGGGGTGTAAATGAATAATGCGACCTACGGCATGATTTGTATCATGTCAGACTTGGCCTATTATATTCTTGTAAAATAGAACAGGCTCAAGCTTTTATAAAGCTTATTTAGAAAGCTGGCTATAGATTTCTTTTACAAAGCATGATCTATAAGTCTAAAAGCTTCTCATATTGTTTATTTTAAATAAAATAAATAAAATTATGATTTAAACAATTTTGAATAATAAAGTAATGTTATTGTATTTTTTTTTTCAATTCTTGGATGTTTAATAGGTTTAAGCAGGCTAACAAGTTTAGGTTAAGATTTTTGTTTTTTAAATATAAGTTGGGCCAGATTTATAATTTAACTTATATCAAGCTAAAAATCCAAGTCATACTTTTATACAAGTTTGATCTATCTAAGTTAAAGCTTAACCCAACTACTCAATTCATTTACACCCTCGGAAACAATAACCAATGCCCTAATTAAGCTACGTTGTCACAACTAAATTACCAACTTGATTGATAAGACCTTAGTTTATGGGTAGTTAGCCAATGCAAAACTAGTTCAACTAAGAAAACGAGAAATGAAATAAATCTCCAAATTTTATGAATAAAAGCCAAATCTGTTTTTCTAATTGATGTACTCCTTTTTAAAGAGGCAATTAGAAGTCAATCAGAATTTAAAATTCTGAATATAAAATAAAAGATAAACATAACTACAGGAAGTAACGGAATTTTTTTTTTTTCTAAAAAAATATGAAGTTAAGGATAAGAATGAATCATTCAACATTTCAAAATCCTTATAATATATGGTCTACATCTACTATGGGATTAAGATGCAATTTGCTCGGGTGAATTAAGTCCTTCAGCCACACCAATGATTTGAAGGATATTTGAGACTTGTATTGGATCTCTCTATTCTACGTGAGGTTGTAGGTCCTGAACTAAGTTGTTCAAGTTTTATTTGAAATGATTGGCCGTGCTTCGTGATTGGTCCCCTAGAAAGTTGTAACATATTTCTTGGGCCATCTCTTCTCCCGAAATTTTTTTGTGGACATCATATGTATCTAATTGGATATATTTTTTTTAAAAGAAAATAAAAATTCAATGTAATGGGAAAATAAATTTTCTAAAGTGGTGAAAAATTTACCAAATATGAAAAAAGAGAGTACCCATTGTAGTGCTAAAGTTTTACTTGTCTCCCGGGTTTGGACTCATATGGTTTCATGGAAAGTGTGTGAAGATCACTCTAAGCAATACAAGTAACTTTCTTTTAAAGCTAAGAGGGGCAGGAAGTAGAGATCTACTTTAGATGATTGTTTTGGTCGCTGATATTGTTAATATAATGCATTTGAGTTGTTTCGGTGTAAGGAGCAAGAGTATCATTTTCTGTACAGTAGTGCTTAGCTGTTTCTTCAATGGCTGATTGAGCATTAAGAGTCCGTTTGGATGGATTTTTTTTTTCTTCAAAAGCTGTTTTTTTTTTTAAGAAAAAAAAAATTCTCGAAAAAAGTCTGTTTAGACGTCTGTTTCTAAAAAAAGCAGAAGTCATAAAAAAAAGTTAAAAATCTACTTTTATTCGGAAGCTAAAAATGTTAACTTTTAAAAAAAGCAGAAGTCAAAAGTCAAATATTTTTTAAAAAATCTAAATAGCTGTAACTTTTATTGAAAGTACTTTTAAAATAAGAAAGTGATAAAAAGAACTTTGTTGAAAAAACCAGCCGATTGTTCTTTTCTGACAAAAGTTTTCCTCAATTTTTATAGAATCCGAACTCAAATGACGGGAGCTGAACAATTTTGAATGTAAAAGTTCCAATGCAGTAATACTCAAAAGAGTTAGGGAATAACTTTTTATGTATGCAGCGCACCAGCGCGTTAGTCCATGCCTGTACATGTAACTTAGAGTTAGAGTAAAAGATTTTGCCAAAACTTTAGTAATCTCAACTGTAAGTTGTACATATGAGGTGATTATATTTATTATCATTTTGGGCCTATTATTTTTATTATCTTATTGGTTATTGATAGATCAATTTGAAATTAATGGTTAAAAAATAAAAAATAAAATAATTGTCGCTGATTTCAGATTGATCCAATGGTAACCAATCAAATAGTAACAGTAGTAAGAGTAGTAAGATTAAAATTATAGCAAGTATAACTTTTTCCATAATAAATAAGATTTTATTTAAGTTTTATTAGCTCAACTTATTAATGTCTAATGAAAGATGGGTTAGTTAGATGTAATTGTCAGTGTGCTTTTAAAAGATGCCCTTCTTACACTTCCATCTAATAGATACCATCAACTTATTTTAACAATGTGTTAATGTTGCATGACCATCACGTCACAAGCATAATTTTTTTTATATAAAAAAAAAATTCTTCTCCTAATTTCTAATTCTTGAAAGCTAACTTTCCCCTAACTTAACTAATGAAAAAAATCGTTGTCATTTGATGGAGAAAAGAACATAATAAAGAAAAAAAAAGTAGTTTATTTTTATAGTGTTTATCTCAGAAGCACCGATACGTAACTTTTTACAGAATGTGCGTGTCAGACATGTGTCGGACACGTGTCTGATATAAGAGTGTTTGCGGTCTGGATTAGATCGATTTTGGAAGCAAAAATCATCTGATTCAATCCCTTCGTTTGATCATGTAATTATCCATTCGGTTTTAATTTTTTTTTAAATCTGATCCGATCCAATCCAATTTTTTTCGGTTTGGATTGGATCGGTTTTCGGCTTTTTAAAAATCCTAAAATTTGTTTCATGATTATTATGCAAATAACATCTTTTGTATATTTTTGTTGATGAGATGTGATTAGGTTTTTTCTTGAATTTAGTGGATGAGTTAATGGATCTTGGGTTTAGAAATTTTTGGGCTACGATTCAGGAAAGACCCAAGTAGGTAGAGGGAAATTAATATATTGGATCGGTTCTCATCAACCAATTTGAAAACCTATCCAATCCAATTAAAATTTACGATTTTTTGTCGGTTTTTGGTTTTTCGATTTTCGTTTTATTCGGTTATCGATTTTTCAGTTCGGTCACTGCGGTTTGAATTGGTTTAGATCGGTTGATGAACCCCCTAGTCCGACATGGACACGCTCCGACACGTTCTCAATTTTTTTCGACACGCATTCAATTTTTTCCGACACGCGGTCAACTCTTCGACACGTTTTTTTTTACTTCTTAATTTTATTTTATTAACTAAAAAAATTTATAAATAAATTTTTTTGTTATGAAATTTACATGAAAAATTAACAAGGTACGCAAAATTATTTTTGTTTAAATTTATGTTATGAAATTTGAATATTTGATTGGTTATATGACTTATTATAAGCTGTTATATATATCAAATATAAATTATGTTATATATATTAAAAATATTATTTAATATCAAAACGGGTCCCAACGTGTCAAAATATGACATTTTTTGGAATTAACGTGTCGGCGTGTCATGTCTCTTGTCAGTGTCGGTGCAACATAGGTGTTTATAAATAATATTTTGAAATTTTCTCAAAAAAGAGATCAATACAAACATATTCTACCAACTTTTTTTTGTCTATCTTTGTCTACCATCCTAAAAGATCATTAGATCAAAATTTAAAGAGGAAAGAGAAAAATAAATGTTAATTAAGATTCTGATCTAACTGTCTTTTAGAGTAGTAGGCAGAAAAAAAAGTTAGATAGAATAACGTATCCTTGCAAACAAATAGTTATTTTACATAGACAAAGCATATTCAAACCTTAAAAGATTTAGAAAAAAGAATATGTTAAATCAGAATCTCGAGAGGAGAGAAAAAAATAAAAACTAATTGAGTGGTAAGCAAATGTATGCCCAGAAAGAAATAGGTAGAATAACATATCCCTTATATATTAAAAAAAATAAAATAACGTATCCCTTAGAAAAATTAAACACTATCACTCAATGACATCATTGAAGAACTTGCTGTGTTACACATGTATAAAATTACAAATTATTTTAGACTGTGTTTATTAAAAAAATTAAATAAATATAATGTATCAAGTACATGAACAATTAATAGATTAAATAAACGTGCTACTGTCATTTTTATCGCACGTGGGATTTGACTCTGTTTTTCCAGTATAATAGATACAAATGTCTCCAAAGTAAGGGCATTGGCCCCACAAAAGCAAATCATCAAACCTTTCGGCAAGAGATTAAATTTAAAATTCTCACGTTATCTCACAGAACCATCTCCAATGTTCTATTTTATCTATTGGTTTAAATAAATCTTTGTTCGATAATTTCATTTGTTTAGATTTTATTTTTGCATATTTTTTATGTTACTCCACCTATGTCCTCTACTTTAGGTTTCGATTTTTCAGAATCAGTACTTTAACAAATAAAAATTAAATGAATAAAAAACATAAAGATTTATATATTAATAATAGAAACCAAAACTTAAACTAATAAAAATATATGAATCAATATTCAAACATTAAAATTTAAATATTCAAAAAAAAACATTAAAATTTAAATAAGT